ACTCAGTGAGTAATAAAGGTAAATAATAACTGAGCAGTAAGAGATCACGTAAGGCAAACCATCATGCTGTACAGAGCAGTGTAAAACCTTTTGAGAAAAACAGTGAAACTGTGAAATCATTAGAGAAACCTCTTAGCTCAGTTTAAACCTCTTTTGAAAATGACTTTTTCAGCGGTCACGCAAATGAATGCAATCAAATAGTGCAGATAAGCGCAGAAATCCGCCCCCTCGGCACGACACTCAGTCATCAGATAATACCAAGCAATCAGATAGATATTGCATGAAGTAGCACGGATAACAGATAATGGCAGACAAAAGAAATAAAGTAAACACATAGAACAAATACTAGTACCACTGCGGCGTGCAGCCCGATCCACATACCGCTACGACGTGTACCCCGATTAGTTTATCGTCGACGACGCTCACTGGGGGTGTGCAAACTCCGGGAGGGGCCCCTTACGGCCCAAGAGCAATATCAAGCCATCTCGTTGCATCAAGTCTAGGCCCTCGGCCTCATATCAGTATCAGTATAGCACTGCTGCGGCGCGCAGCCCGATCCCATAGTATCCTCACAACTGGCCCTCGGCCATGCTCAGTCCAGAAATCACATAAGCCCTTCGGGAGTTGAAAAACAGTAGTTCTCAGCCCAAAACATCATTTAATATATCATTTTAGGTTTAAAATCGAATAGAAGTGGCTGAGTTGTAAAACAGTGGAAAACAGTATGACTGAGTTTAAGTAGTAAGTCAAAACAGTGAGGAAACAGTGATAAAAATCCCCGGAGGTTTCAAATAGTTGGCACGTAGCCCAAATATGACAACCAGTCCAAATTATAATGATAACTTCAATCAAATACGCGGTAAAAGCATCAATCGGGACGGATCAAGTCACAATCCCCAATAGCAAACGACCGCACGCTCATCAGCAAATGCGTGTCTCACCTCGATATAGCACTACGATGTGCAATCCGGGGTTTCAAACCCTCAGGATATCATTTGCAATCATTACTCACCTCGAACCGGCGATATCTCTAGCTCACGATGCCTTTGCTCCTCGAATCGGCCTCCACGCGCTTCGAATCTATCCAAAACCAGAACGAATACGTCACAATATGCTAAGGGAACAAAGCCCAAGCGAAAACAATCGAAAAATGTCAAAAATCCCGAAATTAGCAAAACCCGAGCCCCGGGCCCGTTTCTCGAAACTCAGAAATTTTCACATCATTAGATTCCTCATCTCCCCACGAGTTCATACATATAAAAAACACAAGAATCGGAGTTCAATTGACCCCTCAAATCCTCAATTTAAGCTCTCTTAAACTCAAGCCCTAAACCTCCATTTTTAGCCCTTTAATCTCTTAAATTTCAGTCCCAAATCATGAAATTCTACCATAGAAAAGTGTTACAAGTCCAAAATCCTTACCTCAACGAAGTCTCTTTGATTTCTCTCTTCAAAATCTCCCAAAGCTCCCAATTCCGAGTTCAAAAATGATTAAACCCTTCAAAAATCGCGGAGGATGAAATATATACCTTCTGCCCAGGCCTTTCCGCATCTGCGGTCTGAAACCCGCTTCTGCGGTCACTCACTTAATAGCGCAAATCGCATCTGCGATAGAAATACCACATCTGTGGCTTCGCAGATGCGGCCACCTAAAATTTTGCACACACATCCCAAATGACATAACAAAGCTACAACAACTCTCGGATTCTATTCCGACCCCCGGATCAAAATCTCACCTACCAACCGGGAATCGCCAAAATACTAACTTCGCCAAATCAAGCCTAATTCTACACCGGACCTCCAAAACCAATTCCGATCACACTCCTAAGTCATAAATCACCTAATGGAGCTAACTAAATCATAAAAACTCCGATCTGAGCTCATATACGAATAAGTCAAATCTTAGTCAACCCTTTTCAATTTCAAGCCACAACTGAGAACTGTTCTTTCAAACTCATTCCGATTTCCGTGAAAACCAAACCAACGACTTACATCAGTCGTAATACATCACACGGGGCAAGTCATGCCCAAGAACTGGCGATCAAGGTGCAAAAGCTCAAAACAATCGGCCGGGTCGTTACATCCTCTCCCACTTAAACACACGTTCGTCCTTGAACGTACCCAGAGTTGTTCTAAAAGCCAACCAATTGCTGAATAACCTTACCATGCATAAACCTGGGGGTGATTCCACGTCACCCTAACTCATATAGGTGCGATAACACATTACAACTGAAATTGCACAATCCAATATGGCCCATAAGCCATAGAACAACATTTTCATTTCTGAAACCATCAATACGATCAAGACCTCACACCCATACTCTGAATAGACCCGAACCAGCTGTAATAACCCATGCCTGCAACCCCGGGAGCAATCCCATGATATACCACAAAACTCAGACACTCGTAGCGATAACTTCTATTCACAGCAGCTGCCCACAACAACCGAATATTAGTAGAAAACCTCTTATCAACTAAAGTCTCATTCCAACACTTTCATATACTGCCAACGAAAGATGAAATAAGCGATAAATCACGACCATTCCTCAGATCGACCATTCACGAAGCCACTTCTCTATTGGCAAATTCCGTAGCAATTTCCGAGCCGAACCTCGATATTATCCTTCCAACAAGCTGAAATCAAATCCGTTCGTATTCATTAATGACCCCAACGATCTCCGCTAATCCAACACACCACTCTGGTGACATGACACATCAATAGAGGCCTAAGCCACAGCTGGCATAATACGCGCACCAATAAGCAACGGTCCGAACATACCCAAATCATGAAAGAAATGACTCGAATGAAAGAGCTGTATTGATAATAGGCGAAATTTAGGTGATTTAGCTATTGCTTATGCTTCCGCTTAATTACATTTCAATGACATAATATGGTTAATTGATGAAAAAATAGGCTCTAATTGTGATTTGTATACATTGCAGGGTGAGGAGCTTATATGATGCTTTCAAGAGGCTATTGGAATGATTTATGAGCAAAAACGACCCCTCAGAGTTGAGTGCGTGCAAGGACAAGACGAAAAATTGGAAGAGGTTAAGCCCTAGGTGCCGAAGACCTCGCGAAGTCGCGCAGATTTCGCGCGTATTACAAGCCAAGACAGAAAGGCTCGCGAAAACCGCGCGAAAGGCGCGCGAAGACGCGCGGTGCAGTCCGGAAAAGAGCTAGTTAGGGGTAAACTTGGAAATCTGGAAAGAAACCTACTTAACCTATATAAAGTCAAGCTCGCCCAAGGTCAAATCATCAAGGTTTTCATAGTTTAGTGCAAGGAATCGAGAGGCAAGGGGCAAGGAGGAGTTTGGACTATCAAGTTCTTCTTTTCTTCTCTTTGTTTTTGCTATTTGTGATGAAATTGAACCTAATTGTGATGCATACTAGCATGAGTGGCTAAAACCCGTTGTTCTGGGGTTGTGATTAATCCATGAATATTGTTGTTTGATATTAACTTAACCTTGATTATAATTCACCAACATATGGTTGTTTCTTCAATTCTGTGTTTAATTGCTTAATTGTCTGGCCAGCAGTTAGGTTTTATTCACTATCTATGCTATGCTTGGGAAAGCCGTGTTTATATTAGAGAAGATTTGAAGAGAGCATGATCTTAACCCTCAGGGGGAGCGGATTTATGGTTAGGATAGGAATATACCTAGTCACCGTGCTTAATTAAATATCGTAATCTTAATACGTTCTTAATAGATTGATTTCATAGGAATATAGGCGTTAATCTATTGAGAATAGGCGAGTAGTACTTCGGGAGAAGGCTATGAGAGCATTTATCGATTAATTAGCAACCATGAGTGAATTATATGAAAGGGAGAGCACAATACGTTGGTGAATCGATCACAACCCTGGAATACTTGTCTCTACTGAATACATAACAATCAACTCGTTACTTGATAATTTAGTTCTTACTTAGAATTGTAGTAGCATAATTAAACTCTTGAACTCGAATTTAGCTTGACGGAATAACAATCTTGGGGTGCTAGTGAGTAGTTGATATAAGTCTCTGTGGGTTCGACACTCGACTTATCATTTTATTACTTGTCTGACCACGTATACTTGCGTGTGCGTTGGGAGCAACAAGTTTTTGGCGCCGTTGCCGGGGACTTGAGTATAAACTACTTTCTAGTTTTTGCTTTAATTGTTTATTTCGTCTAGTTTAACGTTACTTGATTGTTGCTCTAATCTCAGAAACTTTGATTGAATGCGTAGGGTCAGAAGCCAGGACAGACTCAACGGCTTTGACCCCGAACCTGAGAAAACATTTCAGAGGAGGTTGAGGGAAGCAAGGGATACAAACAATATTCAAGCACTCATTCAATTTCCTGTGATTATGGCAGAGGAGCAACCCATGGCTGTTCAGGAGGTGGCGATGCCCAACATTGCCAATGTCACCTCCAGTATCGTGAAGCCCAGAATCACTGGGCACTTTGAGCTGAAACAGAGCATGATCCAGCTACTTCATGCAAACGGGCAGTTTATGGGTCTTCCGCACGAGGATCCACAATAATATATTCTGAACTTCTTGGAGATTAGTGACACTTATATCACTAACGGGGTCACTCCAGATTATGTGAGGCTCACACTTTTTCCATTCTCTCTGTTGGGCGAAGCTAAGCGATGGCTAAAGGCAGGACCAGCTAATTCCATTACATCATGGAATGATTTGGCAAGAAAATTTCTGGCAAGGTTCTTTCCATCAGGCAAAACTGCAAAGATCAGAAGTGAGATAGTTGCCTTCAAACAGAAAGCAGGAGAATCTTTGTACTCAGCTTGGGAAAGGTTCAAGGGGCTACTCAGAGACTGTCCTCATCACAATCAGACAAATGAAGTGTTAGTTCACACTTTTATAGAAGGGCTCCATCCCCAAACAAAAATTGTAGTAGATGCTGCAGCTGGAGGTTAAGTATTGGAGAAAAGCTTTGATGAAATTTATGCATTATTGAACAAATTCTCCAAAAGCAATCTTGACTGGCAAGGAGAGATGGGTAGGAATATGGTACAAAAATCACCACGGGTTCTCGAATTAGATGTTGTCTCAGCATTGTCAGCACAGGTCTCTACGCTGACCAACCAAGTCAATCAGAAGACCATGATCATTAACAAGCAACAAGCCCAGCCAGTGAAACAAGTTCAAATATTTTGTGAAGTATGTGGAGAGGGTCACATGAGCAATCTATGCCCAGCAAATCCAGAGTCTGTATATTTTGTGGGTAATGCAAATCGAGGCCAAACAAATCAGTATGGGGACACTTACAACCCCAACTGGAGGAATCACCCAAACATCTCCTGGGGTGGAAATCCAGGCAATCAGAATCAATACCGGCCTCAAGCACCTCAACAACAATCCAGACCACCTCAGGATGAACAACAAGCTAGCCTTGAGGAGATGATGAAGAAATTGATGGCCGACCAACAAGCCCTCAATCAAAAATTAATAGCAGATCAGCAAGACTTCAATCAGAAATTAATAGCAGATCAACAAACTTTCAATCAAAAAATAATGGCTGATCAGCAGGCTCAAGCCACAGCACTGAGAAATTTGGAGCACCACGTGGGCCAACTTGCTAGAGCCCAAAATACCAGACCAGCAGGGGCTCTTCCTAGTGATACTGAGCCCAATCCTAAAGCTCAAGTCAATGCGGTTACCTTGAGAAATGGAAGAGCATTAGAAGAAGTCCCAAAGAAAAAGAAGAATATAGCTCATCCTGAAGGAGAATTAGTTCCCAAGCCAGTTGAGGGGAATGAGAAAGATGATAAAGGACCCGAGCCAGTAATTGAGACTAGACCACCACCTCCGTTTCCACAAAGACTACAAAAGCAAAAAGATGATGCTAAGTACAAGAAATTCTTAGATATTTTGAGCCAAGTGAGTGTGAATTTGCCTTTGGTGGAAATTTTGCAGGAAGTGCCTAAGTATGCAAGGTATCTCAGAGATATTGTGGCAAACAAACGAAGACATGCGGAGTTCGAAATAGTTGCACTTACTGAAGAGTGCAGTGACAAAGTTCAGAGTAAACTTCCTCCTAAGTTGAAGGATCCCGGGAGTTTCACAATTCCTTTGTCTCTTGGAAAATAAGAAGTTGGTAGAGCCCTGTGTGATTTAGGGGCTAGTATAAATTTGGTGCCATACTCTTTGTTCAAGCAACTTAGATTGGGGGCTCTCAGACCTACTACAATCACTTTACAGTTAGCAAATTGGTCACTAGTCATGCCAGAAGGAATTATTGAGGATGTGTTAGTTCGAGTGGGAAAGTTTATTATTCCTGCTGATTTTATTGTTCTTGATTACGAGGCAGCTGAGGAAGTGCCCATTTTTGGGGCGACCATTCTTGGCTACTGGTGGAGTAATTATTGATGTGAGGGCAGGGAAGTTAAAAATGAGAGTTGACGATGAGGAGGTCACTTTTAATATGTACAAGGCACTTAAGCTCCCTACGCATTATGAGGACTTGTGCATGATTACTGTGGTAGAATCGAAGGAGATAGAGCAGAGTCCTTATGTGAAGTGTAGTGATCCAGATGGGACAACTGAGTTAGAGGAGGTAGTGTTGCAAGCTGAGTGTGTAAGGACGATTGCAAAAAGAGCCAGAGATGAAAGAGGAGACCTTCCGAGAGTGTGCAAAAAGTCTAGACTTTATGGGAGAAAGAAGAAGAGAAAACGCCCAGCCTGAGCAGAGTAGAAGAGTCGTGCCACGAGTATAAATAAGGCGCTTGTTGGGAGACAACCCAACATGTATATCTTTTAGTTATTGATTATTTTTTTTTGTCAAGTTTTGTGTTGTTTTTATTTTGCAGAGTAGGGGAAGTCTGAGTACCCAAAGTTGAAGCTGAGGAGCATGTTTGAGCTTAAGTGTGGGGTCGTTCCGACCCTTAATATTGAGGATCATATCCGAGCTAGGCCCGAGAGGGTCTCAGGGAGTATTTCTCACCCTTGTGTTAATACTTTTCTATGTAATCATGCATCGAGGACTATGCATAATATAAGTGTGGGGTGGGGAAACTACTTTCTGAAGTGTAATTGTATAGAACTAAATTTTTTTTTAAATTAGTTTTTCTTTTAGAACTCGTAGTAGACATAGTCTAGGTTTTAAGAAAAAAAAACGAAAATTAAAAAAAAAGAAGAGATGAATACATTGTGTCTTGCTCCTGCTAGTGGATATGAATTAATAGAGTGCTTAAAGAAGAAGGGAGTATTTGTGTGATGAATTTGTTTGTGAATGAGAAGTGGGTTAAAGAATTTGCGCTGAAAAATTGCTCATGTGAGGTGTTAAAGTGCTTAGGATGTTGAGTCACTACTCCTAAATATATCCTACCCGTCCCTTAGCCCACAGTACAACCATGAAAAAGTCCTAATTGATTTTGGGTCGAGCTAGCCTACATTAGTAGAGATTTACATTAAGGGCAAGCCTATGGTACCAATTGCATGCATGTGACTTCTTTTGTGAGAGTGAGTGCTTTCATTGATATATGTGAGTGTATGACTCAAATGTGTGGATTGAATTCAGTTTTGTTGATGTGATTGTGAGGGCATATGATTCGTGACGGAAAAGCAAGTCTTGACGTCTGTGTAGAGTACCCTGAGGTAGTGTGAATATTGCATGGCACTTGAGAGTCGGCTTTGAGGCTAGGATTGTTCACTGCTAGGCGTAATGTATGCACATTGTTCTAGGTGTAATGCATTAGGGGAAATGGTTGAGTGAAGGATTCTATAGAGGGTATAGTTTGATTGCTCGAGGACTAGCAATGAATTAAGTGTGGGGTGTTGATAATAGGCGAAATTTAGGTGATTTAGCTATTGTTTATGCTTCCGCTTAATTACATTTCAATGACATAATATGGTTAATTGATGAAAAAATAGGCTCTAATTGTGATTTGTATACATTGTAGGGTGAGGAGCTTATATGATGCTTTCAAGAGGTTATTGGAATGATTGATGAGCAAAAACGATCCCTCGGAGTTGAGTGCGTGCAAGAACAAGATGAAAAATTGGAAGAAATCAAACCCCAGGCGCGCGAAGACCGCGCGAAGTCGCGCAGAGTTCGCGCGTATTACAAGCCAAGACAGAAAGGCTCGCAAAAACCGCGCGAAGTCGCGCGAAGTCGCGCGGTGCTGTCCGGAAAAGAGCTAGTTAGGGCTAAACTTGGAAATCTGGAAAGAAACCTACTTAACCTATATAAAGTAAAGCTCGCCCAAGGTCAAATCATCAAGGTTTTCATAGTTTAGTGCAAGGAATCGAGAGGCAAGGGGCAAGGAGGAGTTTGGACTATCAAGTTCTTCTTTTCTTCTCTTTGTTTTTGCTATTTGTGATGAAATTGAACCTAATTGTGATGCATACTAGCATGAGTGGCTAAAACCCGTTGTTCTGGGGTTGGGATTAAGCCATGAATATTGTTGTTTGATATTAACTTAACCTTGATTATAATTCACTCAAATATGGTTGTTTCTTCAATTCTGTGTTCAATTGCTTAATTGTCTGGCCAGCAGTTAGGTTCTATTCACTATCTATGCTATGCTTGGGAAAGCCGTGTTTAGATTAGAGAAGAATTGAAGAGAGCATGATCTTAACCCTCAGGGGGAGCGGATTTATGGTTAGGATAGGAATATACCTAGTCACCGTGCTTAATTAAATATCGTAATCTTAATGCATTCTTAATAGATTGATTTCATAGGAATATAGGCGTTAATCTATTGAGAATAGGCGAGTAGTACTTCGGGAGAAGGCTATGAGAGCATTTATCGATTAATTAGCAACCATGAGTGAATTATATGAAAGGGAGAAGTTAATAGAACACAATACGATTGGTGAATCGATCACAACCCTGGAATACTTGTCTCTACTGAATACATAACAATCAACTCGTTACTTGATAATTTAGTTCTTACTTAGAATTGTAGTAGCATAATTAAACTCTTGAACTCGAATTTAGCTTGACGGAATAACAATCTTGGTGTGCTAGTGAGTAGTTGATATAAGTCTCTGTGGGTTCGACACTCGACTTATCATTTTATTACTTGTATGACCACGTATACTTGCGTGTGCGTTTGGGAGCAACAAGTTTTTGGCGCCGTTGCCGGGGACTTAATATTAGCTACTTGCTAGTTTTTGCTTTAATTGTTTATTTCGTTGAGTCTAACGTTACTTGATTGTTGCTCTAATCTCAGGAACTTTGATTGAATGCGTAGGGTCAGAAGCCAGGACCGACTTCAAGGCTTTGATCCGGAACCTGAGAGAACATTTCACAGGAGGTTGAGGGAAGCAAGGGACACGAATAATATTCAAGAACTTGTTCAATTTCCTGTGGACATGGCAGGGGAGCAACCCATGGCTGTTTAGGAGGTGGTGACGCCCAGCATTGCTAATGTCACCTCTAGTATAGTGAAGCCCAGGATCACCGGGTACTTTGAGCTGAAACAGAGCATGATCCAGTTGCTTCATGCAAACGGGCAGTTTATGGGTCTTCCGCACGAGGATCCACAATAATATATTCTGAACTTCTTGGAGATTAGTGACACTTATATCACTAACGGGGTCACTCCAGATTATGTGAGGCTCACACTTTTTCCATTCTCTCTGTTGGGCGAAGCTAAGCGATGGCTAAAGGCAAAACCAGCTAATTCCATTACATCATGGAATGATTTGGCAAGAAAATTTCTGGCAAGGTTCTTTCCATCAGGCAAAACTGCAAAGATCAGAAGTGAGATAGTTGCCTTCAAACAGAAAGCAGGAGAATCTTTGTACTCAGCTTGGGAAAGGTTCAAGGGGCTACTCAGAGACTGTCCTCATCACAATCAGACAAATGAAGTNCTCTGAATCTCAGTAGCTGATGCTGGTCGAGGACAGTTCTTGACTGCCTCAATCTTCTTCGGGTCCACCTGAACACCCTCTGCTGATACGACGTGACCCAGGAATGCAACCGAACTCAACCAGAACTCGCACTTCGAGAACTTAGCGATAACTGACTATCCTTCAGAGTCCGAAGGACCACTCTGAGGTGCTGCTCGTGCTCCTCCTGGCTGCGGGAGTACACCAAAATATCATCAATAAAGACTATCACGAACATGTCCAAATATGGCCTGAATACTCGGTTCATCAACTCCATGAATGCTGCTGGGGCGTTGGTCAACCCAAATGACATGACCAAAAACTCATAATGTCATACCGAGTGCGGAATGCTGTCTTAGGGACATCGGATGCCCTAATCCTCAGCTGGTGGTAGCCAGATCTCAAGTCTATCTTTGAAAACACCTTCGCACCCTGAAGCTGGTCAAACAAATCATCAATCCTCGGCAGTGGATACTTGTTCTTTATCGTCACTTTGTTCAATTGCCGGTAATCGATGCACATCCTCGTCGATCCGTCCTTTTTCTTCACAAATAACACAGGCGCACCCCAAGGAGAAACACTAGGCCTGATAAAACCCTTCTCTAGCAAGTCTTGCAACTGGTCCTTTAACTCCTTCAACTCTGGCGGGGCCATGCGATACGGCGGAATAGAAATGGGCTGCGTGCCTGGGGCCAGATCAATACAGAAGTCAATATCCCTGTCGGGCGGCATACCCGGCAGGTCTGAAGGGAAAACCTCGGGGAACTCCCGAACAATAGGAACAGAATCAATAGAAGGGACCTCTGTGCTGGAATCACGAACATACGCCAGATAAGCTAAACACCCCTTCTCGACCATGCGTCGAGCCTTCACATATGAGATAACACTGCGGGTGGCATGACCTGGGGTCCCTCTCCACTCCAATCGGGGCAAATCTGGCAAAGCCAAGGTCACGGTCTTGGCGTGACAATCCAAGATAGCATGATACGGGGACAACCAATCCATCCCTAATATAACGTCGAAATCCACCATGTCTAAGAGCAATAAATCAACACGGGTCTCAAGACCCTCAAATACTACCACACAGGATTGATGAACTCGGTCGACCACTATAGAATCACCCACCGGTGTAGATACATAAACAGGGATACCCAAATCATCACTAGGCATAGCCAAGTAGGGTGCAAAATAAGACGACACATATGAATATGTAGACCCAGGGTCAAATAGCACTGAAGCATCCCTATCACAGACCAGAATAGTACCTATAATAACAGCATCTGACGACTCAGCCTCTGGCCTGGCTGGCAATGCATAACACCGGAGTTGGGCCCCACCTCCCTGAGCCATGTCTCTGGGACGATCGGCTACTGGCTGACCCCTACCTCTGCCGGTCCGAGCTCTACCTCTACGGTCTCTACCTCCACCTCTATGATCTCTACCCCCGCCTCTAGCTGGCTGGCCAAGCTGTGGATCACCTGGTGCCTGAATCATGGGGCGAGGACCCTGCTGCTGAGAACTACCCGAGGCTCGAGGGCAAAATCTGACAATGTGACTCGGGTCACCACAACCATAACAAGCCCTCGGCTGCTGAGACTGCTGGCCCTGACGACCTGTATGTCCTCCCCGAAAACTCTGAAGTGGCGGTGCACTGATGGGCTGCTGATCAGAATAATGCTGCAGAGAGCCACCACCGCCTGGAGTACCATGAGAAACCTGGAGGGCTGACTGAAAGGGTCTCGGTGAATGGCCTCTACCATAAGAATCCCTACCTCCAGACGAGGTACCACTGAACCTACCAGAATGACGAGGCCTCTTATCCGACACCTGACCACCTCCTCGTGCAAG